AGAGCTGCAGTACATTTGGCTGATCTTCAAAACTCAAGTAATGGTTATTTTCCAGCAAACATTTGAGGTGTCGGTTCTTTTTGTCTGTTTTATAAACTCAGACTTTGTGTATGAGATCTACCTAAAAATGAGTCTCCCAAGCAGTCACTGGGAGCCTGGGTAAAGGGCGCAAGAAAACTTCCTTAAACCCCCAACATGGAAACTCTCTTGCGCTGGAGGTTGAATTGCAAATCAGTTCTGTCCATTTGACACACGGTTCTTTGGCTCTTGCTGTGTGCTGCACACTGACCAAGGCAGGTTCCCGTCTCTGCTCCCAGGGAGCGTTTATTCCAGTGGACCTGTAGGGTGATGAGCCAAGAAACAACTCATTTGTGTATCTGTGAAACCGAAGCCATCATGCCCCTTGCACTCCCTCCCCCCACCGTGCTTCTACAACCCAAGGGATCTTAAAGTTAAGCCAAGATGAAAAATGAGCCTGGCTCTTGGATGGATGGCATTAAGCAATTCCTCTTCCCTCTTCTCTTTTAACAAAGAGGCTGTGATTTATACCCTGAAATGGAGGGTAGTGTTCCGTACTGACCGGGAAGTGGCATGAAAACCCCTCTCTGGCACCACTGTCTTCCAAATACCTGGCTTCCTCTTTGAGAGTTTTGACTCTGAACAATGTTGGCTGTGAAAGCGTTATGTATAGAGTAGGTTTGAAGTGAACCAGGCCCTATGTCCTTGGGAGGGGTATATGCTGGGAAATAACCACCAAGGTCCATCAAAGTTGCTTTGAAGTCAGTTGCTGCCTCCATTGCTCATCCCGGGTCTGAGGCAGATCTTCAGGGGTGGGATGAGGCACATTCCACAGTGGGCAGGGCAGGCGCCAGGCCAAGAGGTGGATCCAGGGGCCTGCAAACGAAGCACAGGCTTCTCCCAGGACTGGCACCTTCCTGCCACCAGCAGTGTTCTGCAGTATGTTCACCTGAGAGGTGCAGGTCCCCATGTGCAGATAGGTGCCTGCAGCCTGGGATTGTGGCCTGGAGCTGGGGTGGGGTGGGGGTTGGGCTTGGTTTTCTCCCAGCCGGCTCACTTTACTCCATTCAGCAAATGCCTGTTGTGCTCCTGCTATTTATCTGGATCTGCTGGGGAGGATAGGGAGGAGATAATAGTTTTTTTTTTTTTTTAATTTTTTATGTTTTTTTGGGGGTAAGGGGTATATAATATGGTAAGTGAAATATTTGACTCTTGCGCTTTAAGGTCATAGTAATGCTTATGGGTGTCCATTTGGTGACTAAGTTGTCTGGGTCAGGAAGGAGGTCAATATCAAAATCACTAAAGAGGTAGTGAAAGTTTTCAGGTTTTTTTTTTTTCCTTGTAAAAATGGAAGTGCTCCCTGGAGGTATGACTCTGTCACTCTTGTGTCCAAGGCAAGACGTGTCATCCCTGCCATCTGAGTCTGTGTGACTCCTGAATTCCTGTAGCCAGTTCAGATGCCGTGCTGTCAGGTCCTCTGTGGTTTGTGTGTTTTGGATAATAAGTAGCAAGGAATAGAATGTTAAGGGACATCATTAAAAAAAAAAGGGTCCAAGTTTGTTTAGTGTCTGTGTTTGGGTAGTGCGTGCTGTCTCTGACAGTTCCAGCAGGTTACACAGCGTCCCCAGTGTGCAGGAGGGACGGCAGCTGGTGCTGCAGTTTTACACAGGCTTCTTGGAGATAGTGGGCTTGGGACCAGGTCAGAGGGGTGGGCATCGAAGGGGCATAGGTTGTGGGGTGGCTTGAGAGCGAGGTGGGGAGGGGAGGTTTGGGCTTGTGCACTGACTGATCTAAGGAGTTTAGTGGGGTGCCTTAAGTGCTGGGGTTTGTGGTGAAACCCAAGCCAGGAGAGTTCTGGGAAGCCCCTAGACACTCTGTCCATGTTCCTGAGGAGCAGTGCAGAGTGGAGAGGCAGGAGGAGGCTGGGTGTTGTGATTCTCCGGGGAGGGAAGGTGGGTGGTGCTGGGTTATCTTAAGGAGTAGCCTGGGAGCCTCCTTTCTCCCAAGGAGCCAGACCAGGGGCCTGCCAGCGTCAGGCCAGAGGGGACGGCAGTCAGGACCAGAAGGACTGCTCCCCTGTGTGTCTCCTTCCCCTCCCGCCCTAGTTTTAGTTGTTGCTTAGCATGGAGTTCTTTTCACCACCTACACTCTACAGATTATCTCAAGACTTAAATTGGATTAAAGTGAATGATTTTCACCTGGTGTTTGTCTACATTTTGATTGATTCGGCAGCACAGAGTTGGCTATGAGTAGAATGAGCATGTGATGTCAGTATTCTTTTTTTTTTTCTTTTTAGATGTAGATGACAGTGGAGTGTATTTTGACATAAAACATGGAGTATAACTTCCCTTCTGTGGTTATATACCATGTGGAGTTTCACCGTTTGCATATTCTTATGTGAACATAGGAAAGTTCTGTCCAGTCCATTCCACTGTCATTCCTAATCCCATCTCCCTTCCTTTCCCATCTTTCCACTTTGTCTAATCCAGTGAACTTCTAACCCCCCCCCCCCACCATTGTGTGTTAGCATCTATATATCAGAGAGAACATTCAGCCTTTGGGTTTTTGGAATTGGCTTATTTCACTTAGCATGATAGTCTCTAGT